AATGAAGCAGAAGTAGATGTTTTTCTGAAACTCCCTGCCTTTCTCCATCATCCAGCGGATATTGGCAATCTGTTAGACTGTTAGACTGTTAGGGAATAATAAAGAGCAAGGGCTTCTGTGTAGTTTGTTTAGGGCAGTCAAAGTGAAGACTTGTTAACTTGTATTAGGATAGAATACAAGTGGGTTTATTTCCCTACAGTGTAAAGTAGTCTAGAGGAAATCTGGATACTCTGAAGGGCAGCCAGGGCGGCTGATCTAAGAAAAGCACTGTTACATGTTACTGGATAGTGTGAGGAAAGTAGCTCACGTTAAGGAAAAGTTACTCCTTCTATAGAAACCATTTGTTTAATAAGTCTGTGCCTCAGAAACAAATTACGCGAATGTACCTCTCAGTAATGAGTTGTCAGCTTCAAATATTTCAATAAACCTGTTCTTTCGTTAACTGTTAATCTGCCTCAGCCTTGTTCTGTCACATATAGTTAAATCCAGTCAGCCTCCACATCTCTACAGTTCTGTCACTAGAAAGGGAGCCAAAAGGAAGAACCGGTGTATAGGGACATTTAACCTCAAGTACTACAATAAGTCAATTCCTCAAACAGTAATTTGAGGTGGTGGCAGCAAACCTACCATTACATACACGCCGTTCTCTCTCATCACCTGTAATTCCCCCGTTCGTCTTTATTACACCCATCCTTTGAGAGGAAGCAACACCCCCTTGAGTGGAATTCATGCCCCTTGAGGGGAAGCCACACCACTTGAGAGGAAGCTCTGCCCCTTGAGTGGAATTCATGTCCCCTTAAGAGAAGCCTCCGCCCCTCAGGCAACAGGCCCCACCCCTCAGCAGGAGGCCCCACCCCTTGAGAGGAAGCACCACTCATTGAGTAGAATTCATGTCCCCTGAGGAAGCCCTGCCACGCCCCCTTGAAGAAGAGGGCATTTCAAAGGATCAAGGGTCTGGAGAATAAGCCCTATGAGGAGCGGCTGAAAGAGCTGGGCATGTTTAGCCTGCAGAAGAGAAGGCTTAGAGGAGACATGGTCAATATGTGAGGGGAAGTCACAGGGAGGAGGGAGCAGGCTTCCTTTCTGCTGCCCTGGAGACTAGGACACAGAACAATGGCTTCAAACGACAGGAGAGAAAGGAGATTCCACCTGAACATGAGGAAGAACTTCCTGACTGTGAGAGCTGTTCAGCAGTGGAACTTTCTGCCCCGAAGTGTGATGGAGGCGTCTTCTTTGAAGGCTTTTAAACAGAGGCTGGATGGCCATCTGTTGGGGGTGCTTTGAAGTGATTTTCCTGCTTCTTGGCAGAATGGGATTGGACTGGATGATGGCCCACCAGGTCTCTTCCAACTCTAGAATTCTAGGATTCTAAGCAGGTACCACTTAAAAGGCCTCAATCTCTCCCATTACATCACTCCTCACACACCTGCTTTTCCTTTCCTTATCTCTCAGCCACTGAGAAAACAGAGTCTGTCTGTTTTCTTTGCCTGGGAAGCTGAAGATGCCTTGATTTGGAAAAGCATTTCTCCCCCCACCATTCCTTTCAGCCTGCAAGTCCAGCAGATTCTCATGCGAATATCGTTTTTTTCCAGTTGCCTGGGAATTGCCAGGAAATTCCATAACAACTCTCTGCAGGCCTCTTCCATCCTCCACTGGCCCCTCAGGTTGCATCCCAGCATCCCCTTCCTCATCCTCCGAGTACTCAGACTCTGACCAGGCTGCAACAATTCATGACTTGGATGAAAGTTTAGAGGGCATGCTCATTTATTTATTTCATTTCAAAAGCATTGCACGAATAAGTATAAAACTGATAAAGATAGAGTTAACGCAAGCGTATTACAGGGTGTGCATATGTATGCTAAGTCTTTACAAGGATCATCTCCTGTATGGGTGCGTGTTGAGGAAGAACACCTGGACAATTAAGCAATCAAGCTTGAGCCACTCCCTGCAAGGAGTACATCATGAGGAGCATTCAGATCATGAAGACAGTAATTCATGGAGAGAAATGATGGGACTTCCATGGACTTACTACAGGACTTGCTGAAGGTCTGGACCATTTACTACAAGACTCCTTGCACCATTGAAGAAGCAGAGAATGCATGGTTTTAATGCATTGGACTTTGTGTGAGTTATTTTCTGCAATGGACTGAGTTTATTTTCAAGGCTGGTTATTTTGTAAAGCTGCTTATTGATCTCTGACTGACTACTCAAGGGTACATTTTGTTTTCCCTTTTACTCTGACTCTGTGTGAATCAACAGAGGGCTGGGAAGACTGCTGAGTAGCTTCCGCATAGCCTGATAAACCGCAACAAAGCGGTTAAAGAATTTTTGACCAAAACTGGGCAACAGCAACCGCACTGTCGGCAGCTTTAAACAATTTTTCCTCTGTGCATGAGGCAGGGCATTCTGGACGAGCATACAGATGCAGAGTTGTTTGTTCTGCTCCACAGTCACACAAGGTGGAGGATTCTTCTAGGCAGTGGTTGTTTTTTGATCTGCTAACTCCACTTCTGAGTCTATTCAGGGACTTCCAAGTTGCCCATTCTTGGTTTACCTCTAGGTATGTTTATCAATAGTAGTTTATCAATGAGTAGATCAGTAAGTACCGCTCCAGCGGGAAGGTAACGGCGCTCCATGCTGTCATGCCGGCCACATGACCTTGGAGGTGTCTACGGACAACGCTGGCTCTTCGGCTTAGAGTCAGACATAACTGGACTTAATGTCAGGGGACTACCTTTACCTTTACCTATGTTTATCAAGTTTTCAGATGACACCCAATTAGGAGGGAGACCTAATACTCCAGAGGACAGGATCAGGATTCAAAATGACCTCAACAGATCAGAGAGCCGATTGGCCAAAATCAACAAAATGCATTTCAGCAAGGACAAATGTAAGATACAACACTTAGGCAGAAATGCAAAGATACAAGATGGGTGACGCCTGGCTTGACAAGGGAGTTACATGGGGAAAAGACCTTGGTTGGAGTCTTCATGGAGGGCAAACCGAACATGAGCCAAGAGTGTGATGCAGCAGCTAAAAAAGCCAATGGGATTTTGGGCTGCATCCAAAGGAGTCCAGTGTCACGATTGAGAGAAGTCATGGTAGCTCTCTATTTGGCTTTGGTCAGACTTCTTTACCTGGGATATCACTGTGTCCAGTTCCAGGCAAAGCAATTTCAGAAAGATGTTGACTCTTAAGCTAGGAGTCCAGAGGAAGAGGGCGACTAAAATTATCAAAGGTCTGGAGACATTAATCCCTCTGAGGAGCCTTAAGAGCTGAGTCTGTTTAGCTGTAGAGTAAAAGGTTGAGCAGAGACACGAGGAGTATCAATACGTGAAAGGATGTCCTAAGGAAGAGGGAGCAAGCTTGTTTTCTGCTGCCATGGAAAGTAGGACACATTGGAGTCATGGGTTCCAATTAGAGGAGATCGCACCTGAGCATTAGGAAGAACTTCCTGACTGTAAGAAGAGCTGTTCAGCAGTGGAACTCTCTGCCTCGGACTCCAGTGGAAACTCTTTCCTTTGAAGCTTTTAAACAGAGGCTGGATGTCCATCTGTTGAGGGTGCTTTGATTATGCTTTTTCTGCAAGGCACGAGGTTGGACTAGATAGCCCATGCGGTCTCTTCCAACTCAATTATACTATGACCTGAACATGAGGAAGAACCGCTTGACAATCAGAGGCAATTCATAATGGAATCCACTACTCCCGTGCAGCCCAATAGAGTAACCTTCCTGGTTACTGGATGTCTGGATGGCCATCTGTCAGGAGGGCTTGGGCTGTGGATGGCCATCTGTCAGGAGGGCTTGGGCTGTGTGCTCCTGCATGAGAGAATGGATGGCTCTTTTTTTGCGGGGGGGGGGGGGATCACTTCCTTTTCTGTGCAAAGCTCTCCCATCCTCTTTCCTGGGTGGTTTGCAAAAACATGCTTCCTCCCAAAGAGCAAACTCTTGTGTGATCTGCAGTTTAATCTTCAAACTAGATCAATTAGTCCGGAGACCCAGGTGCAAAACTGCAAACTTGATAAAACTACGGTAATTAAATGCAGGAATCATAGAATCATAGAATCAAAGAGTTGGAAGAGACCTCCTGGGCCATCCAGTCCAACCCGATTCTGCCAAGAAGCAGGAAAATTGCCTTCAAAGCAACCCTGACAAATGGCCATCCAGCCTCTGCTTAAAAGCTTCCAAAGAAGGAGCCTCCACCACACTCCGGGGCAGAGAGTTCCACTGCTGAACGGCTCTCACAGTCAGGAAGTTCTTCCTCATGTTCAGATGGAATCTCCTCTCTTGTAGTTTGAAGCCATTGTTCCATTGCGTCCTAGTCTCCAAGGAAGCAGGACAGCGTGCAGCACAGGATGAATATGAACGCGGAGCTTCTGCAAGTAGATACAGGAAGTTGTCTTATCCTGTAGATCCGGCATAAGCCAACTTCAGCCCTCCCTCTAGAGGTTTTGGATTCCAATTCCCATGATTTCTAATAATTAGGAATTGTGGAAGTTGCAGTCCAACACCTGGAGAGAGGGCCGAAGTTGGACCATGCCTGCTGCCGATCAAAGGGGGACAGGGCTTCAAACTACAAGAGAGGAGATTCCACCTGAACATGAGGAAGAACTTCTTGACTGTGAGAGCCGTTCAGCAGTGGAACTCTCTGCCCCGGAGGGAGTGTGGTGGAGGCTCCTTCTTTGGAAGCTTTTAAACAGAGGCTGGATGGACATCTGTCAGGGGTGATTTGAATGCAATATTCCTGCTTCTTGGCAGAATGGGGTTGGACTGGATGATGGCCCATGAGGTCTCTTCCAACTCTTTGATTCTATTATTCTAGGGGGGTAGAGCAAATGTGGGGAGGGGGAGGAGGATGGCTGGAGGGTCCAGAACCCTCTTAGCGGAGCCAGTTGCTTGACAGCCTGTCCCCGAGCCTTCTGTTGGCCTCCTCGGACCAGGCAGCAAACTCGGCCCCGTCCATCTCGGGGGCCAGCTGGTTGGTGGCTTCCAGCGTGTGGTGGCTGCCTCCGATGGTCTCCCGGCACTCAGGGCACCGACTGCGTTGAGTGGCGCCCCCGCACTCGCCAATCACATAGACGTGGCCGTTGGGGCACTTGAACCAGTGGCCGCGCGTTGTTCCGGTGACGGCAGCCACGATCTGCCGCTTCTCCGCCTCAGTGATGCCCAGCCCGGATGTCGGGAGGAGGGCCTTCAGGCCTTCCATCTCTTCCTTGACCAGTTGCTCGGCCTCTGGTGTGAACTTCTCGGGCCCCTCCAGGAGCCGCCGGAGGGTGCTGACCTTACCCGCCGTGGAGTCGTCCATCTTGCCCTGGGCGGCCTGGGACCTGGCCAGCAGCTCCACCAGGAAGGTCATCCGCTGGAATTCGTGCTGCAGCTCAGACAGCTCCTGGCGGGTGAAGCTGAGTCGCCCCCCTTGTTGCCCCCGTTCCAGCCAGCCGGCCGCCTCCGCCATCCACTTCTTTGCTCCCTCCCACTCACTGGACTGGCCCTTCCTCACCGCTTTGGTCAGCTCATCCAGCCGGACGTAGAAGCCCATGAGATTCTCCAGAAAGACCAAACCCTGGAGAGAGGGAGACGGTGACCTCTCCAGATTCTGCTCCAGCTGCCTGTATTTCTTCGGCATGTTGACCCGTAGACTGATTTTCTCCTTCAACGCTGCCTTCAGTTTCTGGGTGCCGGTGGCGATTTCCTCGGGGGAGCCCCGGATCTTGCGCTTCACTAGCTCCACCTCCGCAAGGCTGCTCTTCACCAGCGCCCCGTAGCGCAGGTTTTTCCGGATGGGCGTCCGGCACGAGGGACACACCTTCAGCTTCACGGCTGCCGCGCTCTGCTCCCCCTCTTCCTCCTCTTTTGCTGCCTCCTCGTCCATGTAGACGTCCAGGCCTTGAGTCTCAAAGACATGGCCGCAATCCTCCAGCTGCACAAAGCGGGCCCCGGGCTCATCCTCAAAGCCGAAGAAGATCTGGGTTAGCTCCTCGCGGTCGCAGACCAGGCACTTCTTTGGGCAGGGCTCCCCGCAGACACCGGCGCAAGGATGGCCACAGCGGAGCATCTTGGGGCAGGACACATCACACCGGGGCCGGTCGCAGGGCTCCGAGCACAGCCGGCTGCATTGGTAATGCTCGCAGCGCCACTCGCAGGGCTCTACGCAAGGAGGGCAGGGCTCGCCACAGGTCTGCTGGCAGTGGCTGTGGACGCAGCGGTTCTGGCAGCGCTGCTGGCAGGGTGGGCAGTCGCTGTTGCAGCGCTGAAGGCACTCATGCCCACAGACCAGGAGCTGTTTGCAGTGGCTGTCACATGCTGCATGGAAGCGGCCACCAAAGCAGGCGTGGCAGGAGCCGGGGCATGGGTGGCCGCACTCCAGGAGGGTGGGACACTTCACCTGGCAGGGCACAGGCTTCCCGTCTCTCATATCCTGTGCAGTGGCGCAGTAGATCTCTTGGCTGTGCCCGCACTTCAGGGTGACCTCGACTTTCTCTTGGCAGAACCGGGTGCACGTCTGGCCGCAGGTCATCCGGCACTTGTGCCCGCAACCCAGGTTCCGCGGGCAGGGCTCCTGGCAGCAGAATATCTCCACAGGTGTGGCACAGGGTACCTGCTGCAGGTGGCCACAGCTGGGCACTGTCTTCGGCACCTTCACCGTGCACTCCCCGCAGGGCAGGAAGCATGCTTTGGGGCAGGGGTGCCCATCCGCACAGCGTGTCTTCTGGCAGGGCTTCATGCACTGGAACTCCCGGTGGAAGGGGTCATAGGGGTGGCAAGCCCGTGTGCAGACGTGCCCGCAGCCCAGCCGGGCCTCGCATGGGCGGCTGCAGCCCCCCTCAGGGACCCTGGCAAAGTCCCCAGCCTTGGACACCTCCGTGTGGGTCTCAGGGTGGTTCTGGCAGGACAGCACCATGGCTGGGCCCACCTGGCCCTTCTCGCGCAGCGTGTGGGCAATTTTGCTCCAGAGCGGGACCTGGCTCAGCATGCCCAGGTTGCCGATGCAGAAGAGGCCCTTCTTGGCCCGGGAGAGTGCCACGCAGACGCGATTGGCGGCCTGCAGGAAGCCCACTCGGCCCTCGGGGTTGCTGCGCACCAGGGACAGCAGCACAATGTCGTTCTCCTCGCCCTGGTACTTGTCCACCACGTGGACCTTCACCCCCTGGAAGGTTTTGGCCGGGAGCAGTTTGCGCAGGCAGAAGAGCTGCCCCGTGTAGGTGGTAAGGATGGTGATCTGCGAGGGCTGGTAGCCCTGGCACAGCAGGTACTGGCACAGCCGCACCAGGAATTGGGCCTCGTGCAGGTTCTGATGGCTCTTCCCTTCCTGCAGCGCCTGCTCTGGCACGTTGTGCTCCACGAAGAAGAGGTTGGAGGAGACTCCCTGGAAAGGCAAGGAGGGCAATGGCAATGAAGGGGTCCTGCTCAAGACCAGGGCTGCTGTGGCCTGGGGGCATCAGCCACAGGCACTGTCCACGCCCCAGGTGAGGGGAGCAGAGGACTCACCTTGATGTTTTCATACTCGAGGACGGACGGGTGGTTCTCCAGCTCTGTGTAGATGTGGGGCGTGAGCAGCCGGGCGATCTCTGGCCGCATGCGATGCTGCAAAGCCAGACACCGTTACAAAATTGGTGGTGGTGGTGGGGGGTGGGTGGGGAGAGCAGTTGGCAGAGGAACCCCCCTCAAACCCAGGTTGCCTTCTTTGCTGCCTCAGTTGCAGGTAGGCATGGCATCCCTTTGGCTCATCAGAGGAGCCCCCAAAGCAAACAACCACCCCTCCCCCTCATAGTCCCATTGGTCCTCACCTGATAGTCGAGGCGGACAAAAGGGAGGCCAGCCGTGACCAGGCGCTCAAAGAGGGAGACCTCCAGGTGGAAGTTCTTGGCCAGATCGTAGACGTTGGCACTGGGACGAAGCTGCAAGGAATGAGTGTGGTAGATTCATGGTTAACTGTAAAGTAAGGAGTGACTAAGCCAGTGTTTCTCAACCTGGGGGTTGGGACCCCTGAGGGGGTCGCGAGGGGATGTCAGAGGGGTCACCGAAGACCATAAGAAAACACAGTCCTTTCTGATGGTCATGGGGATTCCATGTGGGAAGTTTGAGCCAATTCTATCGTTGGTTGAGTTCAGAATATTCTTTTATTGTAATGAACTATAAATCCCAGCAACTACAACTCCCAAATGTCAAGGTCTATTTTCCCCAGACTCCACCAGTCTTCACATTTGGGCATATTGAGTATTCATGCCAAGTTTGGTCCAGATCCACCATGGCATGAGTCCACAGTGCTCTCTGGATATAGGTGAACTACAACTCCCAAACTCAAGGTCAATGCCCATCAAACCCTTCCAGTGTTTTCCATTGGTCATGGGAGCCAAGTTTGGTTCAAATCCATCGCTGGTGGAGTTTAGAATGCTCTTTGATTATAAGTGAACTATAAATCCCAGCAACTACAACTAACAAATTACAAAATCAATCCTCCCCCAACCCCACTAGCATTCACATTTGGGTGTATTGGGTATTTGTGCCCAGTGAATGAAAACGCACCCTGCATATCAGATATTTACATTATGATTTATAACAGTAGGAAAATGACTGTTATGAAGTAGCAATGAAAACAATGTTATGGTTGGGGGTCACCACAACATGAGGGACTCTATTCAGGGGTCACGGCATTAGGAAGGTTGAGAACCACTGGACTAAGCTACTTAAGTTCTGAGTAAATCATAATGAAGGAGACCTGTAAGCAATTGAAAATAGGCTGCAGTGGAGCTGATGTAATGCAATTAAATTAAGCAAGCAACCACAACATGGGGGTTTCCCAAGGATTGTGGAGCGTTTGGGGCTTCCCAGGGACAGAGCTTGTAGACTGTGCTGTGGGAGAGGTTCTAGGCTTCCCTACAGAAGAGAGCTTGGTGGATTTGATTTGATTCTGTGGACCAAATGTTGCTTTAAGTCTGAAGACACCGTAAATATTACACTGTAAGTAGTAGTAGTAGTAGGAGAGACTGTGTAAATATTGTACAAACTGTACATTTTGGTTTATGGAACTGTCAAGGTTGGAATGGAGACAATCTCTGCTGTATTTTTGAAGGATTTCATGGCCAGAATCACTGGGTTGTTGTAGGTTTTTCGGGCTGCCTGGCCATGTTCTAGAAGCATTCTCTCCTGACGTTTTGCCCACATCTATGGAAGGCATCCTCAGAGGTTGTGAGGTCTGTTGGAAAATTCCTAGTTTCCAACAGACCTCACAATCTCTGAGGATGCCTTCAATAGATGTGGGCAAAATGTCAGGAGAGAATGCTTCTGGAACATGGCCAGGCAGCCCGAAAAACCTAGACAGCATCTGAGAGCAGGGCGAGTGCAGGGTCTACCCTCCTTCAGCTGCTCCGATGGCGTCCCCTCCTTACCTGCTGGTGGTCCCCAATGAGGATGAGGTGCTGGCAGCCGCTGCTGAGGGTGGTGATGGTGTGGGCCTCCAGGACTTCAGCCGCTTCCTCCACAACCACAACGCGAGGGGCCAGCTCCTGAAGGATCTGCCGGTACCTGGCCGCACCTGGCGTGGAGAAGGAAGGCAAAAGCCTTAGAGTCATAGAGTTGGGAGGATTCCTCAGAGGCCATCCAGTCCAACCCCAGCAGCAAGTGAAAGTGTCCAGAGAGGGAGCCACCACCTCCCTGGGCAACTGGCTCCATTGGTAAACATTGCCTGTCAAGGGGCTCCGTCTGATGTTCAGTGGAAGCTTATCCTCCATTAAACCTGCTCTAGACCAGGCATGGGCCAACTTGGGCCTCCACGTGTTTTGGTTGGACTTCTAAAATTCCTAATGGCCTGTAGGCAACTGAGTCCATTGCTGAATTGTCCTCACTATCAAGAAGTTCCTCCTAATTTTCAACATACAGAGACAGTAACTAACACTAGACAGTACAGTCCCTCATCCCCGCACATGTGAACCCACCACCGTGGACTTCCATCCCTGCTCGCTATGATCCCAATACCCGATTATTCCTCCCCTATAAGTTCCTTAAATAGTTCATAGAATCATAGAATCATAGAATCAAAGAGTTGGAAGAGACCTCATGGGCCATCCAGTCCAACCC